ATTAAAGTTCAATTATTCAAGGTGAATCCATGCCTACAATGCAATCCTCGAAAATATCAAATTCCTAAAAAGTGACTGCTCTTACCCTATTTGGGGCATAGGAACAGTGCCAAAAATGGCTCCTACACAAATTCCCTAAACTTAGCAAATTAATCCCCTAATTCCCTAAACATCAAGACTAAGTCAGAAATATTCACGGGTAAAGAAAACATGCCATTTGGCTATGGAGCTAAATTAATTGGGTAAACAAAGAATGGTCGGCTCAAAATGGCTTTTCCTAAAGGACTTTTTCAGGTGGGGTGGATGATTAATGGATTAATTCAATGGGTGACTAATGCCTTCATCCTCTCAACAACTAGATTATAGTGCAAGCAATTTAAGCCTAAACACTTCAAAGATGTTCTAAAAGCATAGTCAAAACGCTAGCCAGCTCACAAAGACACAGTTTAAAGAAAAAATTTCAAAAATTTTGCATGAATTTCCTATGAATATACAACTAACACCTGCGCATGCTAACTCTAACAAATCACATGTGACAATTACTGCCCGAATTCCCAATTCACTCCCCCACACTTAAACTTTGGCATCGTCCTCGATGACCAAAAATGCACTATGCACAAGGGGGTAAAGAGGAAAGGGTCACGCGTGCTCAAAATTAATTCAAGTCAATTATTACAACTAGGCGATTATTAGAGTCACATAAACTTCCCTAAGGCGTTGGTCGGTGCAGAACTAAACTGAGTCAAGTGATCCTCGGCACATCATCCATACCACAAGACCGTGAGCTGCAACAAAAACACAAAGCAAAACAACCAAACAACAAACAAAGCAAAAGTAAAAACAAAAGCAGAAATAAGCTCGGGTTGCCTCCCGAGAAGCGCTATTTTTAACGTCGTGTGCCCGACACAACTACCCCATAGGCTCTCCAATAGCAAAGACGGTAGTGGTGCACTTATAGTCAACGTCTCCAGCTTCCTCTCAACAAATGTCATTAGGTGGCGCAGATCTTTAAATTCGTCAGCCCACGAAGGCAGCACATGGTCTTCATAATCCTTATCAGCAGAGAAGTGAAGGTATGAAACTCTCATCCTCTTCAGATGGACAGAAAACATGAGTGAAAACTTTGATTACTCTAGGTATCACCGGAAGCTCAAAAGATGTCTCAAAGCAAGGAGTAAGAGCAACACCGTAATCAAACTGCACCATAGAAAAGTCTTCTTCTTACTCAAAAATATCATGAAAATTCACAACCTCTCCTCCAGACTCTGTATCACTCTCCATGAAAGCATCCCAACTCTCGTTAATACCTAAACCTACCTCAGTAGCACAATCATCAAGACTGATCTTCTCCTTGCCCTCCTCAGGTGCTGAGACTAATGGTAAATCAAATGGCTGGGGAGTTTCTGTATGAAAATCACAGTGATCAGTGACTTCATCTGTTACAACTTGTACCGTTTGAAACTTTTTCCTGTATTCTTGGAAAAACAACTTAACACTACTATCTTCTTCATCATCTTCAACCATAGGTGGGTCTTCGAAGGCATCAAGAAGTGTATCATCCATCATATTCCCACTATCATAGTCTGACTCGCTCACGTGATCATCCATATTGGTCTCCTCGGGTTGAGCGTCTGTGTCGCTAGGATAAGATCTCTCGGACTCCTCAGATAAAGCCTTTATAATCTGCCCCAATTGATTCTCCATGTTCTGCCTCCTTGTGTTTGCTTGCTGTTGAATTGCCATGCTCGCCTCAATTTCTTGCATGAATTGCTTGAGTGTTTCTTCCAGGTGAGACAGCTTCTCTGAAATTATCTCTTCCACTTCATCTTGTGGTTCATAGCTCGGCAAAGACGTAGGAGTGACTGAAACATTTGTGTTCGTAAATTGTGGGGAGGAAGAAGTGGGGTATGCAGTTTCCCGGAAAGGATGGTCATATAGAGGTTTGATGGGGCAAAGACATAAATGGTGATCTCCTCCACAGAAAGAACAAATGCTATCCTTAAAACATTCAGATATTTCCTCAGCCGTTTTATTTAGAAGCATAAATTCAAGAATGGAGCCTCGTCTCACGCTTACCCAAGGGTAATGTGATGAAGGATAGTAAAAATCAGAATGAAAGGGTTGTGTGGTTGGAGTGTATGGATAAGAAGGCTGAATATTTTGTGGTGTAGGAGAGTAATTTTGATGAGGTGAGTAATATTGAGGAGGAGGAGTGTAAGGAGGGTATGACGTATATGGTGAATATTCCATGGAGGTTTGAGGGTAAGGAATTCCTCCAGGAATTTGGCTGAATAGGTTCATCTCATGCCTCTTAGAAAAATTCCTGAAAGGTTAGCACAGAAAAAAATCCTACGAAGAACTAAAAAAAACTAACTAAAAAAAAAATCTCGCTGAAATTAATTAACCCTTAAAACCGACACCGTCCCCGGCAACGGCGCCAAAAACTGATGTGTTTTTTCTCGCACTTAAAATAGATCGTAATATAGTGGTGTAAGTATGAGTATCGTCTCCACAGGGACGGACAAAAGGGAATCAAGAATTAATTAAATTCAGCGATTAAAAATAAAATAAAATAAAATGCAAGTGTGCGAGATTGATTGATTGAATAAAAAATTAAATAAAACTAATGCGAATGAGCGAATAAAATAAATGTTTGGTTTCTTTCTAATTAACGACAAAGGGAACATGGATTGATTCCGGGGTAATCAGATTTCTGGCAGAACAGGCCTAATTACATGAATTTAATTTAATTGAGCCTAGCTAATCATTACTAAGTTCTTACCGCTCTCGCGGCGTAGAGTACAATAATTTAGGGGACCAGGCTGATCTCTCATGCGACAAGATCCTAAATTATTGCCAAAACGAGCGAGCTTACGGCTCCTTAATCGCTACTAATCTCTTAGCGAATGATTAAGTGTGTGTGAAGGTGTCCTAGAATAAATTAGATCTCTCTTAATTCATTCTACATGCAATTGTAATTCTAGCCGCGGTTCCAGGTTACAAAAGATATCAGTTAAATTATTCAAACACAAATTAAACGACATTCATGCAATTAAACCCACAAGAATCTAGCCATCAATCATGATTAACCCCTTCATCAATCCCAAATCCCTAATTAAACTACTCACAATTCATAATTGAAGAATCAACAGAATTGGGATGAATAGAAATAATTGTCATTAATTAAAAAGATAGAACTTACAAAGAATCCCTTAATCTTGAAGAACAAGGCTTGAAAAGCTCTCAAAAATCGAAATAGGGTTTATCTCTCTAAGTTCATCCCTCAAAAACAGGCAAAACAGAGGTCTAGTTATAGAAAAATCCGAAAATAGGCCGAAAATCAGGCCGTGCGGTCGTCCGCACGCCGTGCGGGTCACCACGCGGTCACGCGCGCGTTTTTCTGTCTTCCGACTTTCGCTCCGCCCGCGCGGTGTGCGGGCGCCGCACTATGCAACCGCGCGGGTACTTCTGGGGGCTATTTCTGGACCGCGCGGTGTGCGGTTTCGGCCGCGCGGTGTGCGGTTCAGATCCCTCAACTATTTGCTCTCAGAATCGTCCGCGGGGCGTGCGGAACCGCACCGCGGGGCGCGCGGAATGCTCTTGGACCGTTTTCTTGTCATTTTCTTCACGGTTTGTTCCCGGATGCTTCTTTAATCGATCCAAAGGCCGTTTATTCATCAAATCTTCGCCGTGAACCTCCCAGTGGCCTCCAAACCTCTCAAATCTCTCTCGAATGTTCTCCAACTCTTCCCGATTGCTTCTCAAGCGCCGGTGCCGGACTCTAAATTCTTCAAATCAACTCCAAATGCAATGAAACTCGATCCAACGCCTGCTAAACACAACTTGAGCCAAAATTGAGACGTGCAACGCCTTAAATCCAGGAAAACCATCAAAATCCGACCCGGACACGCATCAAACGCGTGTCTAAATACGGACTTATCAGGCTACAAATGTAAAACTAAAGGAACTCAATTGTTCTTAGTGGAAGTGGTTGGTTCATAAGAAGATGAAGTAAAAGAGTTTAAGGAGTATACTCCCGGCCCATATGCAAGAACTGAAGTTTACACACAATTACAGACTTTTAGTTAGGAGGTCGTTGTATGTTGGAAATTTATTGGAAAGTAAAGTTCAATAGTTGAATTACATGGTCCTTAATCATTTTATAAACAAATGTTGTGATTTATTAAAATGATTTATTTAATATAATGATTATTATTATTATTATTATTTATATTATGAAAACACTTGTGCACGTGTGGTTTCATAATGTAAATAATAATACTCCCTCAGGTTTTTAATAATCTTCACACTTTCCTTTTTGGGACGGTCTAAAATAAACTTCACACTTCTTTATTTCCTTTTTTGGCAAAGAAATCTACATCAAAACAGTGCCAAACAGTGTCTCAACAGTGCCAAACAGTGTTTCTACAGGGCCAAACAGTGTTAAACAGTGCCTCAACAATGTACTCTACAGTAAAGTCAAATATCATTCCTTATTTTGTGTGAAGTCAAACTGTGAAGATTAAAAAAAACCGGAGGTAGTAATATTTTAGTATGTTTTCACTTAAGTGTTCAATTCAAATATTAAATTTTGAATTTTAGTGGATGCATGCCGCCTTTTATAAAGGTGTGGGCAAATTCTATATTTTATATTAAATTTAATATAAATGCTTTGTGTGGACGTGTTCTTTAAGAACATCCAATTCCATTACTTCTCGTTGAAGGCTTCTTTGTCGTTCAAGTGAAGAGTTTTTCGGTTGGTTCTTAGAAGTGTCCTTTCAAAGAATTGCCTTCACTTATAAATAAGAAGAGGACCATGTTAAACTGTACGAATGAAAATTTATTTTTTCAATCGAGTCTTGCCTTACTAAATACTAATATATGTAGCGTTAGTATTAAAGTGTTTAGACCACTTTATATACATATCACTTGTTTAGTTCATTTTGTCAGTAGCCAAAATACACTGTACACCTTTTTATCCCAAAAGTTCTATCTTGTAACCCGGTTACTGTGATTAAGGGTAGATAGTAAACTTTTAGGAAAGCGTATTTTATTATTTTATCCTCCGGTTCTAACAATCTAAAAGTTTACTATTCCGAAAGTATGGCCACTACTCAACGCGATATCAACACCAAATTTTAAAAATTGGAAAAGTTTGAAGGTGTGGAGTTTCGAAGGTGGCAAACAAGATGCATTTTCTACTCACTACTTTGAAAGTGGTTTATGTGTTAATAAGCACCCCGAGACCACCCGAGGATGATGAAAACGAGAATTTGAAAACAAGCTGCCGCCGCATAAAGTGGGACAACGACGATTACATTTGCCGTGGGCACATTTTGAATGGTATGTATGATTCTCTTTTTGACGTGTATCAAAATGTTGAATATGCTAAAACGTTGTGGGAATCCCTAGAATCGAAGTACCTGACCGGGGATGCTTCAAGTAAGAAATTTCTCATTAGTAACTTTAATAGTTACAAAATGGTGGATTCTCTCCCGGTCATGGAACAATTTCATGAAATTCAACGTTTATATGATCAACTTTTGATACACAACATGCATGTAAATGAAACTTTTGCGGACGGTTCTATAATCGACAAATTACCACCATCATGGAAGAAAGTGAAAAATAGCCTCAAACGTAAAAATGAGGATTTGTCAATAGAGATACTGGGTCGCCGACTTCAAATTGAAGGCATTAAGTTGCGTGAAGGTGACAATGGTAAAAAGCACGACTTTCCAATTTTCTCTATAAATGTTATGGAGGAGGGACAGACAAGTGGGACTAAGAAATATAAAATACGTCCCGGAAAATTCACCAAGGGTTCCAAGTTTCAAAAGAACCCAAAAGATAAAAAAGTAAACTCTTGTTAGGAATGGGGTGGTCCACATTCCCAACTGAACGGCCATCCAAACGATGGCCAAGACAACCAAGCTGAGAATCTTTTTGTAGTTACAAATGATTTTGATAACAACATGATTTTTGTAGCCATGCTTTCTGAAATTTGTGTTGTGCAGGATGATGAATCTTGGTGCATAGGCAAGCTTTTAAGACTTTACAAGTGTTGCAAGAGGAGCCGATCTTATACATGGGAAATGACTACTGTGCAAATTCAAGGAATTGAGAAAGTAGAGTTGGAATTAACTTCCAGAAAGAAATTAATTCTTAATGATGTGTACTTTGTACCACAAATCCGGAAAAATCTTGTCTCCGATGGCATCCTAAATAACTTTTTGTTTAAACTTAGCTTTGAAGCAAATAAGTTTATTTTATCTAAGGGTGGTGTATTTGTAGGCCAAAGTTTCTATTGTAATGGCATGTTTAAACTAAGTATTGTGAATAAAGGTGCTAATTCTGTTTATATGGTTTGTGATTCTTCTTTGTGGCACAATAGGTTATGTCATGTTAGTTATCATAGATTAAGTGACATGTCAAAGGTAGGATTAATTCCTCATTTTAATATTAACATAGAAAAATGAAGAACTTGCATGTTATATAAAATCACTAGAAATTCTTTTTAAAATGTTGAAAGAAAATCCAACATGCTTGAATTAGTGCATAGTGATTTGTGTGATTTCCATAGCACTTCTTCTTTTCGAAATAAAAAATATGTAGTCACATTTATTGATGATTGCAAAAGATATTGTTATATATATCTTTTATTTTCAAAAGATGAGGAAATGGATAAATTCAAAGGTTTTAAAACGGAAGTTGAGTTACAAACCAGAAAGAAAGTAAAAAGGTTTAGAACTGACAAAGGAGGAGAATATTATGAGTCTAAGTTTTTTGAATCCGTTGGAATAATCCATGAAACAACAACCCCTTACACGTCGTAACATAACGGCATTGCTGAAACAAAGAACAGAACTTTGAAAGAAATGGTTAATTCCATGTTGTCTAATTCTGGCTTAAGTATTGGATTTTGGGGTGACGCTATGTTAAGTGCTTGTTATATTCTTAATAGAGTGCCTAACAAGAAAAATAAGATTACCCCATAAGAACTTTGGCATAAAAGAACACCCCAACTAAGTTATCTTAGGGTATGAGGTTGTAGGGCAATTGTGAGATTACTGCAACCTCAACGAAAAACGTTAGGTGAAAAGGGAGTAGAGTGCATATTTATTGGATATGCTGAACATAGTAAATCTTATCGATTCTATGTTATTTTGAATCGAATGACTCAATTGCAGTTCACATTGTCATTGAGTCTAGAAATACTCTTTTCGATGAGAAGCGGTTCACTTCTATTCCTAGGCCAAAGGATGTTGATCTCGGTCCAAGTAATTCAAACTTACATGAACTGGAAAAAGATCATGATAATGAGCCTCAAATTAGACGGAGTAAGAGGGATAGAAAAGAAAAGTCATTTGGTCCTGATTTCCAATTGTATTTGGTTGAAGGATCAAGAGAAAACTCCGTAACTCTTTTGAGGAGGCAATGAAATCACAAGATGCTACCTTCTGGAAAGAGGCCGTAAATGATGAAATGGATTCAATCATGAGCAATAATACTTGGGTTCTAAGTGATTTACCACCCGGTTTCACATCAATCGGTGTAAATGGTTTTTCAAAAAGAAAATGAATGTAGAAGGAACTATCGATAAGTTTAAAGCTAGATTGGCTGCACAAGGCTTTAAACAAAAACATGGTATCGATTACTTTGATATATATGCACCGAGTAGCTAGAATAACTACCATAAGATTTTTCTTTTACTTCATAACTATCATAAGATTGTTAATTGCTTTATCGGCCATTCACAATCTTGTGAATATTCACCAAATGGATGTCAAAACTGCATTCTTAAATGATGAATTGGTGGAGGAGGTGTATATGAAATAACCCGAAGGGTTTGATGTTAAAGGACAAGAAAAGAAAGCTTGTAAACTTGTCAAGTCCTTGTATGGTCTGAAATAAGCACCTAAACAATGGCATCAAAGGTTTGATGAGGTGGTGCTAAAAATGGTTTTAAAATAAATCAATCAGACAAGTGTGTATATAGCAAATTTAATGAGCATGGTAATGGTTTCATTATTTGTCTATATGTGGATGACATGCTCATATTTGGCACTGATTTGAGGCAAGTGTAAGAGACAAAAGCTTTCATTTGTTCAAACTTCTCCATGAAAGATATGGGTGAAATGGAAGTTATCCCTGGAATAAGGATAAGTAAGCAAGGTGATACTATCACCTTAACACAATCTCACTATATAGAGAAAGTGTTGAAAAGATTTGAGAGTTTGGATTGCTCACCAGTTTCCACTCACATGGATCCTAGTTGGAAATCAGATCCAAATAGTGGGAACGTTGTATCTGTAACGCCCCAAAATCCGGTCTAATAGTTAAGATACATATGAATAATTTATTTTTATAGATATTATTACCTTAGTCTAACGACATAAAATTTACTGACACTTTTCTTTATTAATTAATTAAATTATAACAAAATTTTGATAAGCTTCAATACACGAAAATTTTAGATGAATCAAGTAATGAGATAATTATAAAATACGGTGTATTAGCTCTACACAAAAAAAAAAAAAAAAAGGTTTTCATGGGATTTAATTAAATTCTAGAATTTGACACCTAAACTTAACAAAATAAAATTTAAATGGCAAGGGATGTGAAGTAACGTACTCAAATAAACAAATGATATGAATTGAATTATTTGATTGAATGATTTAATTGCATAGTGAACTTAAGGGAGACAAATTGACATGTTAAAATTTATGGACATCCAAACAAATGAATAGTAAGCCACCTCATGGTATGGGAGAGTGAATGATCATACGTACTATTTGAGAGAAGATAATTATTGCTTTATGAAATTCCTAGCCACACACATGAAACTCAATTGGCTTTAAATAGGAAGCCTACCTCCTCTCATTTTTACATGATATGTATACTAACTAAAACAAGAAACTCCTCAAAAGAAATATACGGAGTAGCTCCATGAAGTATACAGCTGTCTAGGAGGAGCCGTCTAGGAGGTTTCCGTTCCAATAAAATTTTAGAAGTATTTGTCTTTAAGGTCAGTACTTCTGACCCAGTTTTATTTAATGTATATTTTAATATTATTATGTAAGTATAATTTCCGTCCCCGTTTCATATGTTATGGGGATGATGAATACTCCGTATTATTTAGCCTTAGAAATATTTGTATGCTTTAACCGTGTGTTCATAATTTATAAGAGCTATTATTGATAATTACCTTATACTTTGTACGTAAATAAAAATAAAATGAAAAAGAAAAGTTTAATTGAAGGAACAAGTCTGGCAAGTTTGAAGGGGAAAATCATAAAACGAACCAAGCACGATGCATGGCTAAGTTGTTTGTGAATGAAAAATATAAATGTGTAAAATTTTAGCCTTTAGACATTTCATGTTCTTTTGAAAATAAGTTGATTCATAGTATATGTATTCCCATTAACGATCATGTAGTACATGCATGTATGTAGAACTAGAAATAAATTAATTCCTATTATATGTATCATTTGTAACACACTAAAAAAATAAGTATTTACCTACATATAGAGTTAGCTAATTACGTATTAAAGATTTTAGTTAATTTACGTAGTAATTCATATTATATGTATCATTTGACCATTTACTTTAATATTATTTATTTACGTAGTTTAGTTTTGAGTCACATATAATTAGTTAAGATTATATATATATACACGTAGTATATAATATATAAGTGCACATAGAACTAGTTGCAAGGTGTAACCTACAGATTTAGTATAACTAATTTATTTATCAGAAATTATGGTTCATGGAAATTATTAGGAGTAATAGTAATATAACCGACTGAGCTAAAGATATGTAGAGATACGTGTAATACTTATATTCACTTCATGAATTAAGTAGCAGTTCTGCTAATAAGTTTATACGTAGCTAGGTACTATACATATAAAACTTTGTGTACACAATTATGGTAGCATACCAATTAAGCATGTATAGTTTCCAATTATTTCGTTTACTTCTTACGTAAGTGAAAAAGTAAGTTATGAATTGATTGTATAAGTTTAGCAATGATCTAAAGATTATCATGTATATATTTAGTTAAGTCGGTCAGAATATTTTTCATAAACTAATAAATAATAGAAGGATAATATATGTTGATTAGAAGTTTAATAAAGATTTATGTATAAATGTTGACATCCGATATTGTCATTAAATATAAGATATATATTAAACTCAATATTTTAATTTTAAACAAACTGAAGAAAATTGTTTCTTAAATGCCTTGCTCCTGATCCGGCACTCTGACACGAATACTCCTGATCTGTCTGTTTAGTGTACTATGTACACTCCTGAAATTCTGTCTTAGAGGAATTAGTGTTCTCCTGTTTAGTGTACTATGTACACTCCTGAAATCTTTTTAGAGCACTATTACTCTTCTGTTAAGGTTCGAGTCTCTTCGGTGATCTCGTCCTTTCTGTTCAGCTAGCTTCTGTTAGGGATTGGTACGTGTAGCTCCGGCGATTACGTTTCCATATCCTTTCTGGGTAATGTGGGTATGGACTTTATGTCCGTATTCCTTACCGTTAGTATTCACTGTCCAGGTCCAGTTCTTGAGTACAAGGCTTAAATGAATTTATTAATAATATACCTCCGGATAAGAATTATTTGATAATTATGATATCTGAATATGCTTCTGATCTGTATATGAATATTTTGATTTTTATGACAGTTATTCGGCTCACTCAGGTATGTCAATTGTTTGTTTGACTAGATGCTAATTATGATATGTTGTTATTTGATTTAAATATGTGATAATTATTATATTTATCATTATTGTTATGATTATCGTTATCAGTATTTGTACCGTACCACTCAGCACATTGCTGAGCGGGTAGTTGTTTGTTTTTCCTACCCGTAGGTTGAAGTACATTCAGCTAAGATAAGGATGCTGGGATGGAAGGAGGCGTAGGATTCATGTGCATATCATGTGTGTATTGTTTATAAATAAACAAATAAGAAGCAAGTTTGACTTTAAACTTATCTGATCATTTTCATTTTGTAAACGCTTCCGCATATTACAAAAATATTTTGTGTTGTATAATATTAATTGCTTTATGTTGACTTGATATTTTCAAGTATTGAATAATAAGTTGACATTTGAATTAAAATGTTTTACTTAAATACTTAATTTTGTTTAAATAACTAAAAGTCTTCTGGTTAAATCCGTTTTGACTTCTGCCACGTGACACACCGCTCGGATCGGCGGGGCCGGTTCGGGTAGGGTGTTACATTTTGGTATCAGAGCCATTGGTTTTAAAAGCGATTCTAAAAAAAAAATATATATATAAAAAAAAAAAATAATGGGTTCAACTTTATTTAAACTATGTGTCTTGCATTGCATTCTAGAAGTC